TTTGGTAAAGAGGCAGTCCCAACCAACAGCGGAAAAAAATTCACATAAATTAACGTGAGAAATTACGAGTGAATTACGAGATTTTTCAGGTTCGGATCATGTCGCTGACCTGGTCATAGTTAACGAGTGGAAATCTGTCTGCGACAGCATAGATAGATAGATAGATAGATAGATAGATAGATAGATAGATAGATAGATAGATAGTAACTTTTTTGCATTTAAATATAAAAAGTATTAAAAAAAAATTCAGGGAAAAAATAAATAAATAATAATGGTCAGATGATGCCATTTATTCATAGACCAGAAAGAACCGATAACCAGTCTACCTCTAATTCAATCCCCAAAAAGGGTTTGATTGAATATTTGTAAATATATATATATATATATATATATATATATATATAATATATATATATGTGTGTGAACAAAATGAGGACATTTAACAATAGACCTGATATTTAAGAATATATAACCATTTAAATTAAAAAGCTGTTACGCTAATATCGTTAAAATAAATAAAGTAAAAATGATGGTCAAATCATGCCATTTATTCATATACTAAAAAGAACCGATAACCAGTCTACCTTTAATCCAATCCCATCCCCTGTAAGGGTTAATTGAATATCTGTAAAAAATAATTTACAAAATTATGTCATTTAACAATAGACCAGATATTTAATAATACATAATTTAAGTTGAAAAGGTGTTAATATTGGTAAAATAAATAAATAAAAATGATGGTCAAATGATGCCATTTATTCATATACCAAAAAGAACCGATAACCAGTCTAACCTCTAATCCAATACCCTGACAGGGTTAATTGAATATCTGTTTAAAAAAAAAAAAGTAAAAAAATTTGGTCATTTAACAATAGACCTGATATTTAGAAATATATAACCATTTAAGTTGAAAATGTGTTAATATCTGTAAAATAAATAAATTAAAATTATGATCAAATTAAGCCATTTATTCATATAGCCTACCAAAACGAACAAATAACCATATAGGCCTATCTCTAATCCAATCCCCTGAAAGAGTTAACTGAATAGGCCTATCTGTATAAAAAATATATTACCAAAATTAGGTCATTTAACAATAGACCCGATATTTAAGAATATATAACCAAGTTAATATTGGAATAAATAAATAAATAAAATAGTGGTAAAACTATGCCATTTATTCATAAAGAACCGATAACCAGTCTACCTCTAATCCGATCCCCATAAAGTGTTGATTCATAAACTATACGCACTGTGCCCTTGAGCAACACATTAAACAAACAAAACGCTTACCATCTAAATCAGTGGCCAAACATACCTGATTTGGATCGCATGCTTTGAACACATGGCATGCCATCTCAGACTCTGGGTTCTCTGGTTGACTTCTGATAAGGTAGGCAAAATAAGACAGGTCATGACTATTGTGGATAAACCTGGATATAAACTGTGCTTTGTGTTCGAATATGAACACGGACGGGTTGCTGCTGTTTGCGGGGACGCAGCGGATCAGAGAGGGCGAGAGATTCAGCTGGACTTCTCTGGCCTGTGCGGGACCGGGCTCGTTCTTCTCACTTTTCCTCCGGATCTCCGCCACCAGCCACGGGAGCATGGGCAGCGTGGTTCGCCTGTCCAGAGACGACCAGCCCATGTAACACAGCGCAAACCTCTTGTCTGCCTTTTGATTACTGTCATTATTATTATTCCCTTTGCCATCCTGTCCCTCCATCTCTCCGAGGGCTCCGGGACAAAGACTTAGTTGCTTTGTGCAACCACTCTATGCCGTTATACCACTAAATGCCTAAATAAATACAGGCACCGGTCAGTAGGCTATGTGAAAGCAACTGGAAACATCTCCTGGCGCGTTAATGGTAGCCTATAGGGATCACTCACGCTTTAGGCAAAAGTGCGTGAGGATCGTGTGTCCTGAAGAGCTTAAGCTACAAAAATACTTGCAGCTACAATAATACTTGCTTTTAAGATGCACCGAGGCTTTTATTCCAAGGTCATATCACTGTTTAAAAATCAAAAACCTCCACTCGAAGCGAAAAATCCATATATAAAGTTAAACGATTTGCCTCAGAGTGTCAATACACAACTGCTTGAAGGACTGCGCGTCTATTCCTGCAGATTTCTCGAGTCCCGACGCCTCAGATTGTGGACGTCGCCGCGGACAAACGCCTCATGTGTGAAGTTGCAGATCAGCTGGAGTCCTTTAAAGTCGCTGCACATCACTTTTTAGGGGTTATTGTGTCATTTAACTGCGTTGGAGAACAGAGAGTGCTGTTGTTCCAGGAGGAGTGGCCGCAGCAGCCACATGAGAGGCGTTCACTTGAACGCGCGCGCGTGTGTGTGTGTGGATCTCTGGCTCCCCTGCGTCTTCAGGAAAGGAAACACACGGCACTGGCCTGACTGAGGAAAGCAAGTGAACTTTATTAATGCTTGGGATATCTAAATTATGGAAGCTTGTTTCCGCCACTGAATAAAAAAAAAAAATAATAATAATTGCGACTTTTTATCTCACAATTGCGAGATATGAAGTCAGAATTGTGAGAAATAAAGTCGCAATTTCGAGATATAAAGTCGCAATTCTGAGAAATAAAGTCAGTTCGATTTTAGAGCTAGTTGTCAAACTTATTACTCCATCTGAATATTTCATATTTTTGAAAGTCAACTTCTTTATAGGTTACAAATAATCGCCCAGGGGCTGATATTTTGTGACAACGTGCCCCAATTGTGAATATTGATATATTTGTCCTTATGACAGTTCAACATTTTGTTTATAATTACAGTGTGGTTTTATTGTGTGCACTTGTTTATCAAACACTAAAAATTTTATATTAAAATTTTAATATTGAGAACACAATTCACAAAAACTACTTTTTTACTTTTCTGACTACTTTTCATAAACGTATTTCATAAACCAACGTCTCAGGAAAACGTTATGAGGTTTCAGATCAAAATATGCCTTTCTGTTACAGAACATGGCATTGGTTTCATACATGTCCACTGTGGACACCAGGACTTAAATCATGTTTATCATAAGTGTGTGAATAGGGAAAGGAATTATACATCAATATTCCTATGAAATATTAGAGATTACCAATTAATACTCCCATTATTGCACTTCTTTTTTCATTACATGTGTCCCCAAAAACAAATTCATATGCAAATTAGATACATTGTACAGATACATTGTATTGAATGGGACTACACATGTATGGCCATTTTACCCACATATTGCATAAAGTAAAATGGTGTATCAATTCATTCTGTTATATCTTTCATAACATAGTTGAGAATCATCTTTATACAAATTTTGGTTAAAAAAATTCCTGAAACCCCAAAATTTAAAGTGAATGAAAAAGAAATCCCATTGTTTTTGCCTATACATGTCATTTCATGTCATTTTATTGTTTTAAACAACTGATTTCTGGTGTCCACTATGAACAAACTATAATTGTTCAAAAATGATTGTATTATTATTATTATTACCTACATTTGTTTATTATGCTCTACACAATGTTATGATATATAAAAAACTTTTTTTTCTGGGCCAATGAACACTAAAAGTTGAGTCAAGAGATTTTACTGTGGATAAAGCATTCTTCACATTTCTAGTAAATACAGGGTGAGGCTCAGGGTGTGTTTAAGGTGAGCATACTTGTAAAATTCAGTGTGAATCAATGGTATCCTATGTAAGTTTCATTCGAGCAATATTTGTTAAGAATAGTATTAAATAATATGTTTTGCCAGTATAGTGAATTGGATACACATTACATAAGTAGGCTACTGACAGGTTTGACACATTAAACTGTACTTTTGCTCAAAAGTGATTCGATATACTCAAGAGCGCCCTCTGCAGTCTCTAGAAGCTATCATGATTTTTTATGATAAAGGTTACTGTGGTCATATTTCGGAATCAAATACTAACATGATACATACTGCTGCATACTATGTAGTATACAGAGTAAACTGTCTACCCTTCATTTCAGACAGCGGCTGAATTCGAAATAGTATGTTTCCATACTTTTCTTATTATTTCTGCCATTTCTTTAATAGTATATACACTACTATAGGAATAGTAGAATACTGTAGAAATCGTAAAGGTAGTATACTTGTATGCTATTCAGAAGTATACAATCTGGATGCTGCTATCATCCGCTCTTAGTTTAAAAAAAAAGAGGCCATTAAACAGAAGTCGTGAAAGTATTTTCTTCCCTATTGTGACGTATTTCCTAGTGAAAAAGCTTCTCGAACAGGAACAAACGTAGGACAGGACTTGATTTTGTCCATCGGGAATTGATTGGATCATTGTGGTTTGCTATTGCTGCAATCTCATGTGAGTGACAGGTAGGTTGTGTCTCCTTTGCGTCAGTAAACACATTGCTTGTCTAACACAGTGAGATATGATGAGATATCGAATTCAGTTCAAGGCCAACTGAGGACCTGCATAATAATTTTCATCATTTTTATTTATGTTTCATAAAAGTATTAGCTGGTCAATAAATCAATTGAAAACACATTTTTAAAAAGTTCTCTCATGTTACTATTGCTGCCATCGAGTGCTGACCAAGTACCCAACTTAAATCAGAGACCAACTGTAGCCCATCATCACATATAGCCTGTAATATAGTCTGTAAAAGTTGCCATCTCTAGGCACAGGTTTCAGGCCTTCAGAAAGTATTCACGCCCCTTCAATTATTTCTCTCTCTGCTGTGTTGCAAGGTCATATTCAAACATATTTTATCTGGAATCTTTCAGCCAAGACAAAACAGCAGATCACTTCAACTGTCAAGGAGACAACGAAGCTGCCAAAATTTGATTTTTGGAAAAATTTATAAATAAGTCCATTCAAAATAACAGGTCATCCTAACGATTTTTTGCCTAAACCAAATCCAACACCGTCCTTGTTTAGCATTGTGATGTTAAGCATTGTAAAGGATTGTGATGTTAAGAAGGTGCAATACAGTACATAAAAAAACTATAAACAAAACACAAAATAGTGGTTCAGTGAATAATTGTATTGAAAAATATTAGAAGAAATTCATGTTCTTGAACATCATCTCATAAGTGTTATTTGTTATTTGAAAGGTGAAAAACATATTTAATGTTCCTAAAGGCACTTTAGACAATTATGAAGATCAATATTAATGACAAATGGAAATTTATGTTGATCCATGGGGGATCTAACACTATAGGACATGTGTTTGGATGTCTTTATTCAGTGCTGACAGTATTAAAGGAATAAAAAGAAAAAAGATCAGTGTAAAATTATTAAATATTAAATACTTAAACGTAACATTTAGTCAAACACAGAATGGTTCAGAATCACTGCTGCAAAAATCACTTGCAGAAAAAGATTAAACCGTCTCTAAAACGGAGGCCATTTCCTTGAACTGCCTGTGGAAGTTCTGAGGGACAAAAAAAAAAAAAAAGAATTGCAGAAGTTTAGACACTTCAGATGGTTTAAAATGAAATTAGGAAAATGCATAATTGCATACCTGAAACTGCTGTACTGTCATCTCAAAGGATTTATATGATACCTCCCCTGACGTGTCCGCAATTTTCATTAGAACCGAGATGAACGAAGAGTTGAGGGATCGGCAGGTATCTGAGCTCACTGCCATTCCAAGCTTCCACTGGATATCTACAAGCTAAGAGTGAAGAAGCTTTGATATCAACAACCTGAGAGAGAATAGCGGCTGACCAATAGTGACACTGAAAACAAGAATCATGTGACACACCTGTCCAATACTAGCCATTGTCAGGTCCTCCTGCTGTGCATGTAGAAGAGCACCATGCTCAGTCCAAAGCTGGTGAACCACCTGTAGCTTTGCTTTGGACCATTTACTGCTGCATTCAGTCAATTTACTGACCAAGACATCTGCACTGAGATTGCCCTTTGCAGCTAACCTGTTTTAATAAATATTTATCATAAATTTTATCGCAGCCGACACCAATCAAACAGGCAAAATCAACATGTTCCAGAAATGTGTATACACACAGGGTTTGAAATAAGCCCATTTACTTCAGAAACGTTTACATCAAGGGCATTTTGTCCTGTGAGAGTTAATACTGTACCTAAAATAGTATGACATCAGTCTTATAATATCTTGAACAGCTTTCTGATCCAGGTTTATCCCGGCTCTTTGAAATTTCTGAGTTAGGGAAATAAAAGCATTTCAAAGACATAAAGAGCAAGTACATGCATGCTCAATTTACAATATAATTACATCCCAGTCAATTTTGTGAGCTTACATCACAGTTTTCAATCAAATCTACTGCTCTGCTCTGATCCTGAAGATGAACAAGGATCACCTGGAGCTGGAAAATTAAAAGACTAGTGTCAGATCAGCAGTCTGAATTAACATTCAATACCGCATCCAGTAAATAACTTGATGATAATATGTAAATATGAACTGTGAAGTGTTGCAAATGTTTCAAGCACAATTTTTTTCTTCCCATTGTATGACCACACAACAATGACAAATCTTACCGTTTCTGCAAACAAGTCTGTGGGGAGCTTTTCAAAATTTTTGACCACATCATCCACACCTGCAATAAAACATGCAAAATGTCACGGATAATCAGAATCAAATAATTTATTATGCTAGCTTATATCAATAATTATTAATGGCTGTGTGTGTGTGTTTATACTTGGGACATTCTGTTCAGTGTAAAGTAAAAACGGCACCCAATGATATGGCAGACAGTATTATATCAAAATATATATTGATACCAATTATTATATTCATAAGGTTAATTTTGTCATGTTTAGTTTAATTAGAACACAGAAAGTGAACGAACACAAATTGCTGCTCTTTAAATTTGCAAGAAAATAGTAATACATTAGACTCACCAGTTGACAGCTCCAGTGCAAACATCTTTGTCAACTATCGGGCTATTTATCATAAGACAACTGTATTCAACAATATGTTAAACAGCCGAGTTTCGTGGTATTGTGTCAAAGCATAGATCAATTATTTTGGACCAGAACTGTTTACTTGTCTTTAGCCACTTCTGTATAAAGGAGAGTTCCAGTCCGGAAGTGATGGATTCCATTGAGAATTTCTTTCAAAATAACAGTACGACTGTTGGGTAGTAGACTACTTATCAATGGGAAGAATATAAAATTGATATTTTTTTATATTATTTATACCTATATTTTTAGTCATAAATATAAAGAATTGCTTACTATTTGACCTCAGCAATATGTGCTTTTTATTTTTATTTATTTTTTATTATTTTAATTCAAATTTTAATTTTTAATTATTTGGAGTCTAAAAAGGTATTCTCTTTGCGGTCTTGTCATATGAAAACAAAACCGGTCTAATGAATTATTTATATTAATACTTAATACTATTAATAACTTAAACATATCAACGTCAAATGAATAATACATCAAATAAATACAAATATAATTAAAAAATCAGCTAATTAAATTTACGTCCCCTTGTTTGGGCTTTTATTTTGAAAATCCTTCGGTCAGTACTCCAGGCTGCAGCTACCCCTGTCTCCACCTCTCTGGACGTTTTGTATCATCGCGGGTTTGTGCCTATCAATGATGGCGGTGCAAACGGAGAGAGGAATCCCGCTCAGTGCGGTATGCATGTTTAATACATTTATTATTACAGCCTGACATGTGTAATTAACGCATGGTAATAGACACCATGTTAATAGACCTATTGGAAAGTGTATAAGTTAAGTAATAACTTAATTTCTCGCACTGTTAGCATTGCCATTGGCAGGTTGACGGTTTATATGTCATCTTAAATGATCTAACGTTATATGTTTGCTCTTAACAATGAACAACAACTATTTCACAGTGTAGGAAAATGGTGTGGTCGTTTAATGTTATGTTCATGTATTTGTTTTGCTGTGACGTATGTGTTCGTCGTCCTATCAGAAAGGCTCCAAAATCGAATTGTACTTTCAGTTTCATTTCTCTGCCAACGGGATGTGGCTAATCGAGGCTGAATCTACCTGTTTATTCGTTTCACCTTAAAAAACGCGACGCTTGCGCTTGTTTTTAAACTTTTTACCCTGGTAACGTTAGTCCATCACACTGTGTATCAGTTCCCTCAGTGTGGTCATCAGTAACGTTAGGCTACTGACAGTAGCTAAGCTCACCCTTAAAAATGACTGAGAAACAGTGGCTCCAATTGGACAAAAAAATGTAATGATACACTAAAACTTTTTCTTTCGATAATCCGGTACATTATCCTCAGACCAACTGCTATTTCTAGCCCTTAAGTTTAAAAGTTATTAGCATGGACAGTGAAACCTTTTAGCTGTTGGTGGCGCTACAGGGTTTGAGACAGATACTCAAAATTCGCTGTGGTTAATGTTGAGACTGTCCTCTATATGTGTGCCAAATTTTATAACTTTAAGTTTCCCTCAAACAACATAAACACAGGAGCAGTGTAGGAGTAATAAACCTTGTGGTCGCAACTGCTTCAGGGGACCCGAGTTTGAGTCCTTTGCCTGTCCTGGCTGTTCCCCTCTCTCTCCTCACTGTTGCTTCCTGTCTCAGCTAATAAAGGGATGAAATATAACTTTTAAAAAAGACACTAGAGTGGAAGAAAAAGATGAAGAAGAATGGATACATATAATAGGTGCACACACCTTCAGTGCTTGTTGGCCCCTAATAATAAGTAGAAATACAGATTTGTAGCATATATATCATCACTTAACAATAACAGTAAGCTCATGGTAGGCCTCTCGTAAAAGACTTATAAATCATCTGTAAAAAATAAGTTTTTACTTCCGAGTGCTGCTGTCTATTTATGTTTTTTCAAAAACAACTTCGAACAAGGCTCATCCACATGATATATGAATTATAAAATGGTTCAGAAAAGTAAATAAATACATTGTTGAAATGTATAATAACTTAGGGTCTTTTGAAAATCCAGATTAAAGAATTTTAAATACCTTCAAACCTGGAAACAGATAATATGGAGAAAAATCTATTTGCAAGTCTTATATTACAGAAACATCCTAACACAAAACCCTACCCTGTCTGTTCAGTAACGGTATAACTTTTTCAAATCTTAAGTATTAAGATAAGAAGTTTCTGTAATACAGCTCCTGTGAACAGAGATCCACAATCCTAGAATACAGGTTTATTAAGTAATCCATACATACATAAATTGTGTTTTAGGGTGTTACTTATAAAGTTTCCTGTGTCTTTGACCCTTTTATAGCTTAATCCAAAGTTCCTTCACACCAACTCCACCAGCCACACCTGGCCCTTCAGTGCCGTTGCAGAGCTGATAGGTGAGCTGACACTTCTGATAGCGCTCGTTGTGAGAATATGTATTAGCATTTGAAACAACGGGTGTGTTCCCTCAAGTCTTAGATTACTATGAATTTGTAATCTAGTTTCACATCTTAAAGACATTCCTGGCTATATTACCAGTGCATGATACCATTTAGTACTGTACGTAATAAATTAAGTAAATAGTTTTATTGCATCCCATGTATTGCTCATTAACAGCTAGCATGAAGTCCTTTACTGTGTTTAACTCCTGCCAGGGTCAAGTAAGGAATTAAAAGACTTTGTAAGAATAGTTTTCAGGGCTACCTCAGTAGAGAGCTACTCAGACACTAGGATGAATATGTGTAATAATTTGATCATATTTTAAATTTATATTTTCTACTTTAGACAATGCTTACGACCCAGATGTGAGAGCCAAACAGTTTTGGATTGATAAGGCGGTCATGAGTGGTCATGACTGTCTAATTTTCATGGATAATGGAGCAGGAATGGATTACGATAAGATGCACAAAATGCTCAGGTGGGTGAGAACACAAACCAGTATGTTGACTAGCACACATTTGGGTTTCATGATCCTAACAGTGATTCTTACTGTGTCACATGATCTAAAATGCTGATTTGGAACTCAAGAAACTTTTCAGTTACCCTCTATTTTTTGAGGTGTCATTACAGTGTAATTATACATTTAAGTACTTAGTCATATACTGTACATTAACAACACTTACTCTAGGGTTAGGGTAGGATTTGGTTGAGGTTTAGTTGCATGTAATTATGCATAATTTACTGTTATTATTACTATGGTAGTTACGTAACATATGTAACAAGGATACTGTAAAATAAAGTGTTGCCAACTTTTCTTATTATCATAGTTGAAAATGGTTGTTCATGAAGTGTGGAAACAGAAACTGCGAAACTGTCTTTTATCAGGATTCTTTGATAAACAGAACGTTTGAAGAACAGCATTTATTATAAAATTGAAACATTATAAATGTCTTTTGTAAATGTATTTATTTACACTACTGTAATTGTTTTAATGTTTTTGAAAGGTGTGTCTAATGTTCAAAAATACAGTAAAACAAAATATTGTAAAAATAAACTTGTTTTCTATTTTAATATATTTTAAAATGAATTGATTCCTATGACGGCAAAGCTGCAATGTCATCAGTAGTCTGCAGTGTCACATGATCATTCTAATATGCTGATTTGGTGCATTTTGTGAAACATTTTGTGGAAACTGATCAATTTTTTCATGATTCTTTGATGAATAGAAAGTTCAAAGGAACATAATTTTTTTTTTTTTTTTTTTTTTATATTATAAGTATCTTTACTGTCACGTTTGGTGAATTTAAAGCAGCGTTGCTGAATAAAAGTACCGGTATTAATTTCATAACAAAAATCTTACTCACCCCACGGTTAAACAGTAATGTAAATAAAAAAATGTTATATATACCCTAATGTATTGTGTTCCTCTCCCTCTCAGTTTTGGCTTCAGTGACAAGGAGACTATAAATGGCCATGTCCCTGTGGGCCTCTACGGCAATGGATTTAAGTCTGGTTCCATGCGCTTGGGAAAGGACGCCATTGTGTTTTCCAAGAACGGAGAGTCCATGTGTGTGGGCCTGCTGTCCCAGACATACCTTCAGGAGATACATGCAGAGAATGTCATTGTACCCATTGTCTCCTTCAAACGCATTGGACAGTCATATATCCTTACCTTCCAAATAAAGACAGGAGGAGGCTTAAATGGATGGGCAACAAAGGATATTATATAATATTTAGCAAGATATAAAAAGAAGAAATTAGAGAGATGATATTAGACATAGTAGGAATCCAGTGCCTAATGTTCTTTTGCATTTGATCAGTTTCACCATTTGTTGTAAAAGTTGTTTTTGTTAAGTAAGAGTTTAAGCATATATTACCTATATGACGTCTTTATCCTTGACCTTTCCTCTCACTCCGACCTGAGTCACAACACACAGCAAGTCTCCAAGATATCCTGCGCTTCTCTCTGTTCAAGACAGAGGAAGAACTGCTCTGTGAACTCAATGCCATCAATTCACACTATGCCACCGACTCCACAGGAACACGAATCATCATCTGGAATCTCCGCAAGTGAGCATGCTGGTAGATAGTGAGGCAGAGAATAAGAAATGTTAGAAATAATGAAAAGATCTGCTAATAATGTAGTTTAGAGCAGTGTTTCTCAACATCAGATTCAGCTTGGTATTGCTAGCACCATACACAGGAATGCATAGTTGAAATTGTTCAGAGAATGTTTTTTTTTTCTGCGACAGAACATCCACAGACAAATCTGAGTTTGACTTTGAAACAGACCGCTACAACATCCTGATTCCATCTGAAGTATATGAGAGTGAAAAGGAGAAATACAAGCAACCCTGCCGCGTATTACAGTCAAGCCCAGACAGCGACTTCTCCCTACGGGTGAGTACTTCACCCTCCTACTGTATTTTGAGTAGGTCCAACAGATTACAGTCTACATGCTGTATTATCAGTGTGTCTGTGATGAGAGACATCACTTCATTATGCATTACAGTTTGAACCACCTGTGGCTTGTCTGTAAGGTAGAGCAGTGCACCACCAAAATATTCATGCAAAACATAGACCTCTACATAAACAGAATCAATAATAAATTGTAAAAGTGAAAAGATATCAGTATTAACCCTCAGACGGTCCTCGGTCATTTCTGACCGAAACATTTTCTGTTTTGAATTTCTAAAAATCACAGCTTCATCGGAATGTTATGAAACTTGGTGACTTTTATGGTATTATGTATGTGAATAAAAAATAAAAAAATTGAGGTCATGATCCGAGCATGCTAAGTGGTCGTAAAAAAAATAGTGACGATTTTGGTCTTTGACCGACCCATAGGAAATGAATGGGAAATTGACAAAACACAAAAAAATTACCGAATTAAAAAAAAAAAAAAAATGTTATAGTAGTTTCTATTTTTTCATCTTTCTTTAGCTTGTTCATTATTGCTGTTTTCTTTTTTACTGTTCACTGTTTTGTTACGTTCAGTGACTTACACAAATGTTCATTATATAGACATGTTCATTAAATATTATTTTACATAGTGTTATAATTGAATGAATTGCTTGAATAATTTATAATAATGAATCATTTTTTGTTACAAATTCTGAATAAAAAAAATGGGTATAAAATTTGCTTCTTGTCAACACAAGCTTCTCTTTCTAACAGAATGTTTAGGTTTGATTGTAATCATAATGCAAAAACTAACACTTTAAATCACTATTTCTTATATATATATATATATATAAAACTTGATAAGAAATAGCTTTTGAGATTGTTTAAATATGTATTCAAATCCACCAAAAAAAAAAAAAGTAAATGTGTCCATCTGTTACACCATGGTCCTACTCTTTCTCTCCATACTCCCACCAGATGGTGCTAATCTGCTTAAAACATTTTTTTTGAAGGCCTAGACTCTATATTAAACTAAAATACTGCATAAAAAAAAAAGCATTTTTAAGCCAGCTCACAGTATGTGGATCAGTCTGGCATCCAACAACCAGCCTAAGCCAGCTCACAATCTGTGGACTAGTTCGGCATCTAACAACTAGTCCAAGCTAGCTCAAAATCTGCGGACCAGCCCGGCATCCAACAACCAGCCAAGACGAGCTCACAATCTGTGGACCAGTGTGGCATATAACAACTAGCCCAAGTCAGCTTACGGTCTGTGGTCCAGTATGGCATTCAACAACCAGCCCAAGTCTGCTCACAATTTGTGGACTGGTATGGCATTCAACAACCAGCCCAAGGCAGCTTACGGTCTGTGGACCAATCTGGCATTTAACAACCATCATATGCCAGCTTACAATCGGCAGACCAGTCTAGTATCCAATAACCAGCCCAAGTCAGCTCATAATCTGCGGTCCAGTCCGGCATCCAAAAACTAGCCCAAGCCAGCTTACAAACTGTGGACCAGTCTGGCATTCAACAACCAGCTTAAGCCAGCTCACAGTTTGTGGACTAGATCTCAGTGGTCTGCGTGTAGCACAAACTGGCTACTAGTCTGTGGACCATCCTAGTGGCCTGCAGTCAGCATAAACCAGCTCTCAGTCTGTGTCCCAGCCCAGCAGTTTGCAATCAGCACATTCCCGTTACCAGTCTGTAGACCAGCTCAGTGGCCTGCACTCAGCACAAACTCGTTATCAGTTACCAGTCTAAAGTTTTAAAACAAAAATAAAAAATAAATAAAGTTGCCCTCCGAAGAGGGGGGGGGGGGGGGGTGTAGGTGGGAAAAAAAAAAAAAAAAAAGCATATATATATATATATATATTTTTTTTTAAATTAATTTCAATGGCAAAAATAGACCATAAATATTGCATAAATATTAATAAATTCAATCAAATTCTCTCAAAATGCAAAATTAAAAAGAATAAATATTATAGAGCAAAAATAAATTGGTTTTACTGGGATGGAGGAAGTTTCATTTTTAGGTCTCCGGTCACTTCTGACCGGGTAGGCCCAGGATGTGACTCGGAAAGGAAGACCGTCTGAGGGTTAACAAAAAGCCATCTTTGCACTGCAGTAGCACAAGCTGCATCTAGATGTATTTACACACTGTTTAATGCTGCTCAGAGATGGCACAAATGCAATTACAATGGCATATATAATGTCTAGGGGTGTCACGATTCTCCAAATCCTCGATTCGATTAAATTTCGATTCTAAGTTCACGGTTCGATTCGATTCTCGATTTTTACATTTATTTTTTTTAAAGCCGAAACCGGCCAATCAGGATGCTCTTTGTTTTACATGCGCTTCATGAGGCATACATGTCTCTCGCTCTCTCCATCTCTGCCGTGCGCGCGCTATACGGTTTGGAGCACAGTTTTTTCTGTCCCGCATGCGCGCTCTTGCTTGCTCACTCTAGATTCCGGGAGATTTTAACTACTTTGCGGGCATCAGGGAGCCGCAATCAATATACGGGAGACTCCCGGAACTTCCGCGAGACTTGGGATGTCTGCAAACTGTGGCTTTTTTGAAGCGCGAACGTTGTCAACATAACTCACTGGAAATCCAAAAAACTTTCACACCTGCGATTTCAATGAAAGAGGAGGGGGTTCAAGTTCTGTCGATGGGTCTCCTGCAACTGCAGTTGCCATGCTATCTTTTGAATGGCTGTAGCTAAGTTAGAGGTGGTTGACCATAGACTCGCAGCACTTCAACACGCGTTTTTTTCCGCTTGGCATGCCGACCGGACGTGACATGGGGGCGTGGTAGCATCGACGATTTTCAATTGTGACTTAATTTCGGTGACACCCTTAAAGGTACAATATGTAAGAATTTTGTAATAAAATATCCAAAAATCACTTGAACAGTGTGATATATTTCCTGCAGTTGTGTACTTACAATATCCCAAAAGTCTCCAAAGATTTTTTATTTCAGAGAAATTCCAATTTTAAATAAGTGGCCGTCCCGGAAAAAAATGTCGCCTGTCAATGACGCAATATCCGCGCTATCCTCGGTTTCCGTTCATACTGCCATAGCCATGACGTAACCATGGCGACAGACGTGGACAACTGCGTAGTGCGTAACGTTTAGCGGCACGCAGTTCTTGTTTCTTTCAAACATAGACCATGGCAAGCAGACTTTGGGACAAACAAGGAGAACTAAAATGAGGATCAATATCAGCGTGGCGTTTTTGAGATGCCGAGAGCTCCACGTCCGCGACTAACTTGGACTTGACAGAGCTTCACGAGTCACGACTTGACAGCTTTATTAGACAGGTGAGCAAATGTACATAAAACAAACCAATGTTATATAACGTTAGCTCAACATGATGAAATGTTAGAATATGGTCAGTATGTTATTCTAATGTTGATCTAGCTTAACGTTACTGCTAGTTTCGTATAGCAAACGAACTAACACGTAGTATAACATTATAACTTTCAACACACATTTAAATGCCGTTTAGTGTGATAGTGTAACGTTAGACCAAGTGAAGCAGCGCTGCGTTACCTCACAAGTTTAATTTGTCTAATAAACTGACCTGTGTGAGTAATCCAGCACTTGCGAGTAGTTCGGTAGAATTTAATGTCCTTATTCCTTTATATCCGCGGGACTCGCGTGTGATATCTGTCTCTTTAGCAATCGCGACCTGCTTCATACCACTGAAATGTTAAAAAGCATGAATGTTTGCACTCATCCATAAACATTATTAGATCCATCAGCTTGACAGCAAGTCCCATCATTCAGCTCATCACTGCGTCATCAACCTACGCCTTTGTTATTGTTGGAAACTGCGCCCTCTTGTGGCGAAAAAACCCTACATATTGTGCCTTTAATAATGTCATGAGTTAATGTTTTAAAAAAATGTTTAATAGAGAAATATAAAATGATGCTAAAATTAAGTGATACTTTTAAATATTAAAGTAATACTTATTCCATGATTTACTCACGCTCAATCCATCCTAGGTGTACATTGATGTACTCATAACAAAAGTCCAAGTCCAGTCCATTGGTCCATCCTGACCAATAACTACCCCTGGTCCCTTCCACTCAGGACAGACTGCTCTTTTGTAATATACCTTGTCTCCTGTCACATACATGTCATCCGTGGGCCTGAGCTGCTTACTGTACGTAGTGCCCTTCTTATCCGCTTAGAAGACTCTGCTCTGTGAATGCTTTCCTAAAAGCATGTACTGTAAAGCAGAAATGTGTTCTCCTACTCTAGCACTTACAGTGGTACCTTCTAGAGCAGGTAGTTTATCAACTAATACAGAAGGAAGGTTAGGATTCTGTTCAAACAGTAATTAATATGGGCTGTGGCCATGAACATTCAACATACTGTTCTTAGCCATGATGGCTCAGTCAAGGGCAGTGTGCCAGTCACATCCATTTTCTCGTTTGACCTTCTGGATTATCTCAGTGAGCATTTGATTATGTCTCTCAAGTAGTCCGTTGCTCCAGAGACTGTATCCCACCAAATGGGGGATGGAACATTTGCCATGGACACTTATCAAAGTGTGAAAATTAATGATTTCAGATGACTTTGTTTTCACAATGTTTCCAGCGCTGAAACGCGTGAAATGGTAGATGATGTTGAGATACCATAAACCTGGCTCCAATGCGTGCAGATCCACCGCTACTATCTCGTTTTATTCCGAAGCTAAGGGTAGCCCCACAGCAGGCTTTGTCTTTTTGTATTTCTTACATATTTCACAGTCTTATACTTTTTTGTTGTAAAATAGTAAAGCATTCTTTGTCGTTATTTCATGATAATGAATGAGCCTCTGTAGCCTGTCTGCAGACGCATGACCAAACTGTTTATGGAGCTTCAGAAGGACTTTGTGTTTCTCATCTGGAGACATATTTTCTGTCACTGTTAGGACTTCATCTCCATCTTGACCTTTTTTTAGTTTCTTTGTCTCTGATATCGACACAGTAATATCCACTATAACTAGTAAATTCAAGAGGAATGGATTGTTTGAACATCACTGCACTTTCCTTTTCCACGTCCAAAATAGTCCCTGCCTTCTTCAGGGATGTTTTACTCAGCAGGAGTGGAATGTCAACCTTGACAGCTTCAGTTTCAATTTGGCATTTTGTCAGTCCTATTTTAGCCGGTAGTTTCACATATCTTGTGGAATATACCAAATTCCCAACTTCAAACTGAAATGGTCTGCAACTGGGAGTTTCTGTTTGCATCAACTGGTTTAATTGATCTTGGGTGATCAATTTCCAGCCATTTTCCCCACACACAGTACGGGTATAGGCAGTGTCAATAATCGCTGATCCCAATGACTCAGTCATAAATATCTCTGCATCTGACATGGCGGCCTTTGTAAACAATATAAAATGCATAGTGTAGAGGGGGAATAACATGTTAACATACACTGAACAAAATTATAAACGCAACACTTTTGTTTTTTTTTCAGCATGCCAATTGCACGCTCCCTCAAAACTTGCGACATCTGTGGCATTGTGCTGTGTGATAAAACTGCACATTTTAGAGTGGCCTTTTATTGTGGCCAGCCTAAGGCACACCTGTGCAATAATCATGCTGACTAATCAACATATTGATATGCCACACCTGTAAGATGGATGGATTATCTCGGCAAAGGAGAAGTGCTCACTAACACAGATTTAGACAGATTGTGAACAATATTTGAGAGAAATAGGCCTTTTGTGTACATAGAAAAAGTCTTAGATCTTTGAGTTCAGCTCATGAAAAATCGGGGGGAAAACAAAAGTGTTGTGTTTATAATTTTGTTCAGTGTATATGACTTTCTTCTTTCAGCCAAACACAACCCGAGTTATAAGAAATAATATCCTGGCACTTCCTAGCTTTGTAATGGCATTGAATAGTGCCCGAGTTTTTGAAGCTCCAGAATGCGCATCCATCCATCCCAAGTAATCCATACAACTCCAGAGGGTTTAATAAATGCCATCTGAATCGGAGCGATGGGGTTTTGTAAGAAAAATATCCATATTTAAAACTTTTAAAACTAATCACTGGCTTCCAGCAGCAGCAATACATGCATTCTTGAGAGTCAAGTTCCAGTGGAAAGGTGACCTCTGACCCGAAGAATGATGCAGGATGTGTCACGTAGGTGTAGTGTAAGCTTACGTGAGAATAGACGCCTCTCGCAAAACCCATGTGATTCTCGTGAACGTGCGTACGGCCGTTGCCATAAGCAACGATTATAGTTTATAAAGTTTTAAATACTCTGCATGCAACCTATCTTTTGTGTACTGTGTGGATGCAGTCAGATTTGACTGTAAAAGATGAGGTGCACTACCATTTTCCTGATTTTACACTATAAGCAACATTTTGCCTGTTAGAAATAGATGCTCGATTTTAATGTTTTAAGGTGGGTTAAAATTAAATGAACGGCAAAATCAGCATTTTGTTCCCCCTCTGTCAAGCCTCAGGGACCCCTAGGGGTACGCATATACCAGTTTGGGAACCATTGTTCTAAAATAACAGTCGGAGGAGATAAATACTACACAAGGCAATTATAAGATGGCATTCTATGTGTTTCGTGTGTACTTAAAGCCTGTCAATCAACATTAGAGCTTCAACCTCAGACTGAATAAGGCAAGGACACTAGGCCTCTTACAAAATGTTTATCAAAAGCTAGTGCAAAGACCCAGAATCTGACCTACCTAAATTTACAGTCAGGAGCTGCCACTGGTTTGAACACAACAACAGTAATTTGTGTCTGTATGTCTCTTTTCTTTTCCTAGGCGTACTGTAGCATCCTGTACCTGAAGCCCAAAATGCAGATTATCATTCGTGGACAGAAAGTGAAAACCCAGCTGATCTCTAAAAGCCTGGCGCACATTGTCAAGGATAAATACAAACCCACTTTTCTAAATGTATCCATACAATAAAAAGGAGAAAGCTGTGATTCCCTGTTTCCCAAAGAAATCCTGATAACTATTGGGAAATTGTTTCCCCAAGATGCTACCTTTTTAATAAGAGACAGAAAATTTAGTTTTTTTAAACATAAAAGCAACTTGACATAAACCTTTTAATGAATTTATGGTACAAAATTTATTTGAAAAAACTCATTACACAATCAGATCATTATAGTAATTTCTGATCAGAATACAGTACTAAATTGGCTATGAATACACACATACGGACCTATCCTTAAGTCTTTTCTTCTCAGAAAGAAAGCATCCCAATCATATTTGGATACAACACCAAGAGCAAAGAACATTACGGAGTCATGATGTACCATAAAAACCGGCTCATCAAATCCTATGAACGTGTTGGATGCCAAAACAGGGTAAATATTTAAAAATGAATTATATACATTTTAATGCATTTGTGATTTTTTTTCTAACCTAAACACCACCTTTTTTAGAGTGATAAAATAATTTTTTGTAGTTTATTACTACTCTGAGTATCCAAATGCATTTTCAATCTTGGTTTTGCAATAGGCAAATGGAAAAGGAGTGGGAGTCATTGCAGTGATTGAGTGCAACTTCCTCCAGCCAACACACAACAAGCAGGACTTTGACTACACAGAAGAGTACAGGCGAGTGTGATACGTGACTAGAATTATTGTTTTCTGTTGAATATAGATACTGTCTCTCCTTTTTACTACATTCTGTATATGGTCAAAATACATTAAATATATGCCAATGTTACCTGCACAAGTATATGCATTTAAAATGTTTTGACTAATTATGAATATCTTATTTTGTGAGCTCATTTGCTATTCAGCGTTTGATTTTTGATGAGGCAGGCAGGGTTACAAACAATTCAGGTAATTGCAAGAATTGTTCGAAACCTTGTTAAGATTTGTTCTCATATTGGACTGTTTTATAACTAAATAAGCTCTTTTCCATTTAAGTTAATAACTAATTTTACAAGTTTTTGCGAGCAAATTTAGTTTTCTACAACAGGAAATCAATAATATAGCAGTCTAAGCTGTTTATTGTTTGTCCACGCAGGAGAACAATGAACATTTTGGGTGTGAAACTGGAAGAGTACTGGAAAGCAATCCGCCATAAGAGGGGATTGAACAGCACAGTCCTTATGGAGGATATCCCGTTAGTATACACTGACACACACTACAAAACATTTTGTTTCTTTTGGCCACTTTATTCATAAACTGTTTACCTTGTTTAACGTAAAGGAAACGTCCTGATCAGAACTGGGCTCAGTGTGATGAGTGCCAGAAGTGGAGGAAACTTCCCGATGGCATCGACACGAATAAGCTGCCTGAAAATTGGTTCTGTCGATTGAATCCAGACCCCCAGTTCAGGTTTGTTCAGGGTTGTTAAACATCTTTGAAGTCAAATTTAAGTTTTTTTAAGACCCTTTTTAGACCTGAAGAAATACTGTACATTAGGGGTGTGCATTATTGACAAAAATATTATATTTCGATATATTTCGATATTTTTTAAAAGTTTTGTTGATAATAATTAGATGATATTTTGCTGAGTGTGATTTTGTGTTGGTACCATGGATGGTTTAAGCCAGTTGTGGACTGTTGATGGACATTTATATTATTCATATTCTATGTGGTGGTCAGATCGCAGCAGTGACAGAAATTAAACATTGTTTTACTTGGGGGCAATATTTGCTCTCAAAGTCTCACGCCAAGCTGAACTCAAAAGTTGGCAGCTATGTAAAAGTGTTACACAGTATAGGCTGTTACCAATCAAAATAAATCATTATCAACAAAATCCATCTATGCACTGCAGAGGTGACACAGAAGCGGCATCAGAAGTGGCATTAAAGGGGTGGTTAGCCTAGCACCGCAAACAATGCAACTGAAACGACTGGATGAAAAATTTTGACAACTGTCTCCACTGATAAATAACACTAAGGCTAACTTGGAAATGAGGCCCGATGTCCAAAATTCTGAACCACCCCTTTAATATATTTACACTGCATTTAGGTGGCGGCAAGTCACTGTCTAAATGAGTGAGTCATTCATTCAACCGATTTGTTCAAACGGCTGATTCATTCAGGAACGATTCTTTATTGAAAGGGTCATTCAATCATTAATTTAACTGATTCGTTTAAAATGCGGAATAAAGGAAAAACAAACAATATTGACAACATTGTGTCTAAAGTTATTGTTCATTTAACTGTTGTATAAAATAAATATTTAATTTGCAATCATGCAGATATTTTGGGCGAAATGGCACTCTTGCTCATGCGATATTGTAATATAACTACATCATATGATATAAATGAAAAAAACTCATCGGGGCAAAAATGCCCAAGTATCTTGAATTTTGGGGGCATATAACTGCATACATCATGTAGTAAAAGCGTGAGTGACAAACTTGATGTCAGCTCGCACATTGTTAAAACAATAATTACGATATCATCATAGGCGATAGCCTACATATCGCACACCCCTACGCACAAAGAATGCACTTACAATTGAACTGACATTTACCCATCTTCTTCTCTTCCTTTCTCGTGCAGGAGACTGTACGTAATAATGTTGTCGTAAATGCCTTGAATTGTCACGGAAACAAGCAAATCCACAAAGAAAGAATAAGACAAAAGAATGTGTACTCTAATTAGATAGTTTTAATTTGGTAAAGGATTTAGATATGTCTTAGTCAAAGTGTGGTTTAAAAAAGACCTCTCATAAGTAAAAAAATAAGACCTTTTTTTTACCTTAAATTTGACTTTTTAATCTTTTTAAGGATCAGTGGGAACCCTGTTTGTCTAATCTAATCTTTTTATTATTTAGCTTTTAATGTTTAATAAAACCTCCAGCAGTACTCAAACAAAAAAGTTCCTTGAAGAGTCATATTACAATTTATTATATTTTTTGTGCCTTTCCATTTGCATTATCCGTTATGAGTATAGAAAAAAAAGTATTACCTCTGCAAACCTTTAAAGGGGTCATTAGAACTCAAAACTACCCTGTTAGTCCAAAAACAGCTTTATTGAAACCAGTTTCCAAAACGACTCGTTTCAGATTTTGTCACATTATTACATCAAAAAATACCGCCTGTGCAGAAGAAGATCAGTGCCTACTTCTACATCATTGCCTCTTTTAGCCCCACCCATCGATTCGCGCATGTCATGTAGTAGTAAATGTGAGACAGACGATACAAAGCGATAGAGATGCCTCTGGGGATTACATGACGTTTTGCAGTGTCAAGTTGTCTTTGCATTGCCTTCCTTGTGATCTTAACATTAAGAAAGCGTGGATGAAGTACCAGATCGCGTCAGTAAGACACTGTTCGTTTGTTTGCCTCATTTTACTGCGGATTCATTTTGAAACAACACACAGTTTGACGCAGGCTTTTCAGAGAGACTAAAATTAAAAGATGATGCAGTGCCAACTACTTTGGATCCGACAGTAATGTCACAACACACAATTGTGAGTAAACAGTGTTTTTAGCGTGTCACTATTGCTTTGTCTGTTACATTTCGTTTGATATGTACTCACTTTACTTTTTACTTTACTGAAAATGATGAACGATGAATAAAGAACGACAATGCGACAAACGATGGTACATTCATTCGTAATTTGTTTACACTAAACACAGTATTATCCTGTCATCTATAACTAGGGTAACTCCAAGTACTTTGTTTGCCACAACCAAGACTTATAAAGCATTTGTAATACACATAAATGTTTTGGTACAGTTGGCAAATATTTCAACTATGTCTATGCAAAACCTAAATTTGACTCAGAAGTGTAAAATGACTTGCAAAGAAATACTCAATATTTCAAAAACCGAGAATACATTGTATTGTGATTCCCACATTTATTACACAACAAAAAGATGAGGAATATGTAATAGTGGGAGTAATTGTAATTGGAGGCATAACTGCAAAAATGGTATTTTTAGAGTTTAAATTAGAGATTTTTTATCAATTAAAAGCTACATTGGTGAAGAGAAGCAGTAATATCTTTTTAAAAAATGATAGTCATTCTACACATTTGAATGGTAGTAACTTTTAACCTACAGCAATTATAAGCACTCTTGGAAGAGATGTCGTTTAAATGGGTTTCCTGAGAGATCACCTATCGCTGTGACATCCCAAGGCTCTGTAAAAGAAAAACAACAATCTGACAGCAGCCCGCGTGTGTTAGCCAATCAGAAATGCCGTTTAGGTAGTAATGATCATAATACAATTATCAAGGCTGTGTATTAAATTCAGAAATGTTTGGGTTTCCTTATGGCACCTACACACTTGAGAGCTCTGATGGGGCGATTGAAGGATAGGAATGCGTACGTTTTCTGGTCATTTTGTGTGTACCATGGAGAGAAGTAGCGGGTGAAACCTAAACTGATTTTCGCATGAAATTACTTTTGGCAATTGCTATTTTGCATCACCGGAGAACAAAGCAAGAAGGAGTCTGGCGACTGTGTGAAATTAATAAAATGCGTTCGACAACCTAAGTTTCATATCTAATATATTATGTTTAATTACATTTTTTATTTTCTAGAATTATACTTTTCCAACAAAACAACCTGTTGTTGTTGTTGGGTTTTTTTTACCCCTGTTGGGTTTGCATCCCTGAACAGATATAATGTGCGAAAACACAAAAAAAATAATTCCAGTGCATTATAGCAATGTATAATTTGTGGAAACTTAGAGAGTAGAGCAGATTAGTAATATTTATCAACAAATGTAATTGCTTCTGAGTTTGTGTGCAAATCTCTAAACGTGTCTTAGCTCAAACAGTTGTTCTTTCTATATTCAGGCGATGTGAAGAACCAGAAGAAGCTGAAGATTCTGAAGATGAAAGTTCAGACTGCCTGAAAATATACAAACAGCAGTGAGTGAATTATTTGTTACATTTCTTACAACTATTCATTTATTTTGTTATCTAGATATGAATAAATAGACCCATTGATTTATGCAAGTACAATTAAGCCAGTGATTTTTTTTTTTAAAGAAATGGATCTGAAATACCATAATCTGACACTAATTTTCTGTTATGTTGACACAGTGAGAGAAACCTCAAAAAACAGCAGGAACAGAAAAGAATTCAGGTAATGTCAAACAATGGCTGGTGAGTTTGTGTTTTGTACTCAGATTTCTTTCCACTTTTTTGTAATTTAATTGGCAATTTCTTTGGATTAGGAGGAAGCCAGGTTGAGAAATGATGTGCTGACTCAACAGAATAAGGACCTGAAAAGGAAACGTGAGGACTTTGTGCGTCAACTCCGGCAAAATGTAATTAATTACTCAAGCTTAGTTAAGCAATTATCAATTATAAGAACATATTTAAGTCTCGCTCTCTCTTTTTGTTTCCATAGGCCCCTTCCTCACCCAGATCACCTACAGTGTCTTTGACAGCACAGAGCCCTTTAAATTCAACACCCCTCTCACAATCTGGTGAGGCCAAGTTTTGAGCATATTTGATTTTGCTACAAAATTGTAATTATTTATATTAATAATATTATTTATATAGGCCCGGACAACATGCCAGTGATTTCAAATGTCATTTCCCTCTTCACTCCTAAAAGGTACATCATTCTCTTTCTTACTTTCTCTTTTTTAAATTGTTGTATTGGTGATAATCTTCTCTTAATTCTCTTTTTCCACACAACATGATTTCAAACTTGTCTTCTAAAGGACGAAAAGCAGTCTAGGACTGACCCATAGCCAAGCTGCAAAAAGAAAAAGAATATTTCAGGATAACTGTAGCAACACACCAGATAGTCCATCAACATCCGCAGCTACATCTGATTTCATATCCTCACCTTTGGGGATCACAGACAATAATGACAAAAAAGTTAATGAAAACGATGACGATGAAACAAGCAGTGGTGGTGATGATGACATTGCAATTGATGAGACCAAAAGCACGCCAAGACCAGAACCTTTGACCTTTGACCTCTCTAAGGTAAAGACAGAAAAAAGTACCAGCAAGGATGCAGTGGGATTATATATGGAGTGCAGTGATCAGGCTTCAACTTCAAATGACCAAACCAGCATAACAACTCAAACCGAAAGTTTCATTGTAAAGGCGGAGGAAGACCAGCAGATCAACAGGGAGGAGATTGAGAATGATGCTAAAGGAAGGGAACAGAGTAACACTGCAGAAATAATCCAAGACCCCGTGGAGGTTGAGAGATGTTGTAGTGCAGACGGTTCCAGACCAAAACTTGCGAAATTAGAGGACACAATTAAGGAGAATAGAATCAGTTTTGAACATCCCAAGTCAGATGTAGAAAACCATGAAGGTACGACATCAACAACTTCTAAATCCTCACTTTTCTCTAACATAGAAATAGACCTTATGCCAACCCATGAAGCACAGAAGCAACAGGATAACCTGCTAAAACTCCTGGAGGACACAGCCCAGGAAAGAGATGAATTAAGAGAGCAGGTTCGGGAGAAAGATATCAAACTTCTGAAACTCACTGTGAACAAGGACTACAGCCATCAGAGCATCCAGACAGATCCATCAGAGGAACAGCACTATAAGACTCGCTTCTTACAGGCCACCCAGCGCATCAAAGAGCTTACAGAAGAGAGGGATGAGATAAAAAAGAAAGAGGAGGTGTTGTTGCAAATCAAAGCTGAGAAAGAGGCACAGGATGAGGTGCGTCGTTGCCAGTTGAAACCTGAGGGGGAGGGACACTCATCAACAACAACTGATGTTTTCGAAAATGTAGATGATGAAATGGCTGTTCAAGTAGACTGTCTTATAAGGGAGCTGGACAAGCGCAACTCAGAATGCAATGAACTGAGAAGTAAAGTGAGCATCTTATATTTTTTACTCTCTAAGTGCCCGTAAGTAATAAGGAATTAGTCCCTGCTGAAAAGACCAGCATACATTTCCAGACTACTTAGTTATGCTTTAATGTTGTTAAAGGGTTAGTTCACCCAGACATGAAAACTCTTGTCATATTTACTCACCCTCACGTTGTTCCAAACCTGTATGACTTTCGTTCATCTTGAAACCTGAAAGATTTCTGTTTCTCCACTGAAAGTAAATTCCACCAAGACTTTCAACACTAGTTAATCAAATATGGTCAATGGAAGCTCAACCATTCTTGCGTAACACGCAGTAAGTACGTAACACAAACATTATTGGTTCTCACACATTAAGCAACCGCTTATGAGCTTCTGTTTACCATATTTGATTTGCTGTATGTATATGCATTGATCAGTGTTTAAAAAAAGCCGAAATTAAATCTGTTCATCATATAAAACAAGAAGATTCTACAACTGAACTTTTTGAAGCATGAAAGTTTTGCTTGCATGGACTTTCAATGGAAGGACAGATATCTCTGGTTTTAAAATGTCTTCATTTCTGTTTCGAAGATGAATGAAAGTCTTACGGGGGTGGGAAAGACATGAGGGTGAGTACATGATGACAGAATTTAAATTTTTATGTGAACATTCCTTTTAACTGGTAAATCTTGCCTGTGAAGGTAATTTATACTGGTGAAGCTGGCTGACGATGGAAGCCTTGTTGGTTAAACTAGCTACGAGCCATGGTGCGGACATACCAGCATCCTAGTCTACAAGAGCTTGTCTTTTCCATTATTTGATTGGTCAGGCTTAAACTGTTTTTCTTTTTTCCCTTCTTCCATTCCTCAATACCCACAAACTCAATTTTATACGTAAAGTTGGACAGCTTGGAGCAGGAGAAAACTCGTTTACAGAAGGAAGTAGAAGAGCTGAGGAAATACAGAGAGGAGTGGAGTAATGCAAAAGTAGAGAAAGAGACTCTGAAGAACAGTACCACCAGTTCAAATCAAACATGCAGCACAAGCACAGCTGCAAACCTTGTGAATGCGATCACAAAGGAAGAAGAGAGCAATGAAAGACCTGTGGAGGGAATGAATGCGGTGACACTGGCCAAGTAAGAGCCTTGTTGACTTATTTTAAAGACTTTCAGTATTAAGGTGGCATTTCTGTACATACTCATCAGGAGTCACATTTTAATGCATATATATAAAGCTGCTCTCTCTGTTCTGTCCTTAGGTTGAGGGAGCTGAGGTGCAGTGTCGCCCGTTTATTGGTCACTTTTGTTCCTGCACTGGACCTTGACCAAGTGAACTATGACTGTGAGGTCATAGATGAGATTTTAAATCAGGTCATACAGGAGATTCCCCCCTCTTGAGACCACTTTTACGTTAAAGCCAGTTGCCAAAATGTTCAGCATAGGTTAATGTTTTGTATATAGAGGCAAATTGTTCAAATTCTATTGGACTCTGAAAATATTAAACTTAATATTAAAATGTTAACTTAAGTACTTCCTGATTACCACTTGCAGTTCTTTGAGCAAGTTTCACATTCTTTTTTTTTTAAATATTTGTATTAGAATAGAGTTAATTTGTCCAGAATAATGTTTGACCTTTTTGACACAAAGACTTAAGCTTTTAAATGTTATGGCATTTCAAGTTACTTATTCTGTAATTTTTCTGATATGCAATTGTGTGTATTTCTGATACACAATATTCCTGATACACAATACACAATTGTGAGTGGATAACAGCTATAGTAATTTCTACTTAAATTGTGTACAAGCAATTCTGTGTATAAAATTGTACATAGTGCTGTTTTTGAAAAAAGAGTTAAATATAAAATACATTTATTTGTTTAATTAAAAATGGTTGTATCTGTCTTTCTTGTTTATATTAGATATTATTTGTTATAATTCTAAGTTAACTTAAAAGTTAATATTTTACTAAAATATCTTTTTTAGTAAACTAAAGTCGCCACATACTGTTTACAAAAATTACAACCAAAGTATGTTCGTTTTTATTGTTGCAGTGCAAACAGTATTTTACACGCCGTTTTTATACAATATAATTTTAGTACACTATTTAAAAACTCATGAAACTCGTACACTTTACATCTAAAAGTGGAAAATGTCACAGCTCCGACGTCGGATTTGTGTGGGATCAGGCAACCCTTGAAACCGGAAGTTCTCATTCTTACAACGCTGCGCGGGAAAGGCGGCTGTGTTTGGGTGAAAGCGGGAGTGACACGAAGCAACTGTGTAGAACAATTGTTACGACTATTGCAACTTTAATAGTCAAGGTAACTGGATGAATGTTTTCTATATATAATATGCCTTGTGACTTTTATCATTTATTATTAATTGACATTACGTGCTGTTACCGTTAAAGTTCTTCAAGAACTGTTGTGTTTGTTGAGTCCATATTACGCTGCGGCTGTAATAGTTCATAATGCAAGTTAATAGTACTTTGTTAACGTTACACACAAATATTACTGTGTTTCACGGTTTGCTATTACTTTTATTAATGGTTCTCACATATTCATGATTTATGGACATTTAAGCTTCAAGTATATTCAAATGTCTAGTGTTGTTTACTTTATAGAAATGTAGCATTGCATTCAACTCCACTGGTTATATAGTAATAGGACAGTGTATTGCTGTTGTGACGTTGTTAAATAAATTCCTACCGTATTTTGCTTTTCAGTATGCGTGTTTTCCTCTGTCGTGCCATCATCTTTTACATTCTGTTACTTCCCTCATATTCCTCCTGCCTTTGTCATGATGAAAATATCTTTATCTCTTTGTTATCCCGACCACGTCCATCAGGAGTCAGAATGAAGGTGGTAACCTGTGAGATTGCCTGGCATAATAAGGAGCCAGTGTACAGTCTGGATTTCCAGCAGAGCGGTGAGGGAAGGACACAGCGACTGGCTACAGCTGGGGTGGACACCACAGTTAGGGTGAGAGAGAGCCTCTACCTTGAGTTAATACATCACTTGTGTCTCTTAAGTTAACACTGGTGGTGACATATTACAGACTGTAAGATGAGAGCTGCTCTCTTTCAGATGTGGCGTGTGGATAAAGGGCCTGATGGGAAAGCGGTCGTTGAGTTTTTGTCTAACTTGGCACGACACACTAAAGCAGTTAACGTAGTGCGTTTCTCACCCACCGCTGAGGTCTTGGCATCTGGAGGGGATGGTAAGTTTAAAGTCAGATCATCACTTGGGTAAGTTCTGAAATCACTTATAAATGTCTTAATAAAATATCTGGTTTCTTAAGATGCTGCTATCTTGCTTTGGAAACTGAATGACAATAAGGAGCCTGAACAAACCCCGACCTTTCAGGAAGATGAAGATGCTCAGCTCAATAAAGAGAGCTGGAGTGTGGTAAAGACTCTGAGGTCTGATTTTAATCTCTCCCAATTAAAATGTCCCTCCTTGACTGTCTTTGACTTTAAATTTGGCATGAAATGAAAATTCATCTTATGTTTTCAAAATGCATGTTATTGATCTTCTTGAGAGCAATTTATCTGTCCATACGTCCTATTTTTTATGTCCTACTTTTTTTGAGTTCATAATTTTTAATCAAAATGTCTTAACTTGATCTTCCGGTGAAACAACAGTCTTCTCTCTGGCGATGTATGCTTTCGTTTAGTCCGCTTAAACGCTGCCCCTTTCTTACAAACGACTGCAAGCTCATGCTAGCTGTTCTGCCTCCATCAATCAACAACCAATGGATAGAGGAAATTCCCCGTCCAACATTTTTCTTTTTTTGATTAACTGTTTCACTCAGATATGCATCACAATACAGAAGAAACCATCTGCAGCTACTTTCATTTCATTGCAATTTTAAGTTATAATTACTTTTGAAGAAGTTTGTCAAAGCTCATATTGTTGTTTGTGCTTGTTAGGGGACATATTGAGGATGTATATGATATCTCATGGACCAGTGATGGGAATTTGATGGTTTCAGGCTCTGTGGACAACACTGCCATCATGTGGGACATCAACAAGGGTATGAAACTTGAAGCAGTACTTAAGTGCTATGTGACTTAAATTATGACAGTATTGTAAAATGATGATAGTTGTTTAGAAAGCAGAGCTTTATGAAGTTCCTTCATAAAGCTTGCTTCCTAATCTAGCTATCTAATAAACCTGACATTGTATATTACGTATATATTTGGCTCTGTGATGAATTGCTTTCGTTCCTCTATTGTAAGTTGCTTTGGATAAAAGCGTCTGCTAAATGCATAATGGTAAATGTATTGAATTCAGTGCCTGTTTTGTTTGCAGGTCAGAAGATGTGCATTTTTAATGATCACAAGAGTTATGTGCAAGGAGTAGCATGGGACCCACTTGGGCAGTACATCAGCACATTAAGCTGTGACAGGTTAGTGTGTTGATTTTAAGGGCTTTCAAATGAATTTCAAGCCATTACAGATTATCATAGACAAGAGGCTTGTGATGAGCATTTTGAAATGAAACCTTTCATGGTTTTACAAACTGACAGCATGTAAAATCTCTGTGTCTTAGGGTAATGCGCGTGTACAGTGCTCACAACAGGAGAAAAGCTTACAGCGTGAGTAAGATGGCATCAGCCGCTTCTGCAGATGGAGAGGTGAGTGTCTCTGGGATCTTCAGCCAGCCTTTATTTTTATTAAGCTGATAATTATTAAGAGATTGGTTGATGTGGACAGTGTCTTCCTTGCCCTTTCAGGGCTCCAGACTATGACCAAATGGTATCATTTTACATCCTTTTTCCTGTTGGTGTGATTACATTTTGTAAGACATCGCACTCGGGCCACCACTACGTTGCCCAACTTATAATTTCTGTTTCAATGAGAAACTGTAAACTAAACTGATACCGCGCTACTCGTTTGAGCTGCGCAGCTCGGACCGAAAATAGACAGCGCAGCTACTACACAACGCTGAGAGATCCAGTAAGAATGTGTTTGAGTTCGCTGCAGAATTAATAACATTACTGCAAGATCTAATGAGAACCATTCAAATTTTCTGCAGAATTCTGTTATAAACCATATTGGATCTAGGGATGCACTGAAATGAAAATTCTTGGCTAATGCCGAATATGAATATGAAGGCCGAATACCAAACGCATTTTTTTTTTTTACCAACAAATCACAATATAAATATTTTTATTTGGCCATCTTTGAGCCCCCCTTTTTGGCCTATTATGCCTACAGGCCTGGTTCTAGAATCAAATCACTGAGGGTGCTTCTAAAATCCCTGAGGGTGCTCTAGTACAGTTCATATTTAGGCTAGCAGCGGCTCCACCATAGCAGTGTACACAATTTCAATGAAGCTCCCAACAGTGCACAATAAGTCTCTTACTTACACCGTGTCTACACTTTTTTTTAATGAGAGGTTTTGCGTGCCTGCATAACTCAGCACTGAATAAAAACTCTGGCGTTCTAAACTTATATATAACACCTCTGATTGGCCATTGCGTTCAAGAGATCAACAACTATGCATGTGATTGGCTACATTGATCACCGCTGCAAAAACACATTGTAAATTGATTAATTTGACGTTCTCCAGAGCACAAACACCAGAGCGTTTGCCAAATCTGTTTCGCCAATACCGTATTTTCCGCACTATACGGCGCACCGGATTATAAGGTGCACCTTCAATGAATGACCCATTTTAGAATATTTTTCATATATAGGGCGCACCGGATTATAAGGCGCATAAGTTACTGCAGTCAAACGTTTGACTGGATTTGCGTTATGCATCCACTAGATCTCAACAAATGTCAACAAAACAGTCAGATAAAGTAAAACTTTATTAAGCGTTCTGACAACTCCGTTCACTCCCATGGTAACGTTGTTTAAACGTTAAAGGAAAACTCCTGTCAATTTTAACATTGAGCTCATTTTTTGTAAATTTGGAGTGCTGTCAGTACAGATAACAACGACAAAAACCGGTGTTGCCTACACCGTGTTATCCTCTTTTTAAAATTTGCACCCTGTTGACTTAAACGGGGCAAGTTTTAAACCTGCTTTTAGCCTCTTAACAACCTTAATGTGTCATTACAAGTGCACAGCCATGTGAGTGAACACGGTGAATCTGACTGCAGTAAACGTGAAGGATATGAATAAAAATGATGTTTATTCAGCCAGCTCACATACCCGTATTTTCTTCCTGTTTTCGGTCGAAGTCCACAGTAGGCGATAGTCGAGTGCGCGCGCGCGATCATTGGTAACTAAGCAACAGTGGAGACTCAGACTGTCAGCCGATGACGGTGCTGTGTGGTGCTTTGAGAATATCAGCTCAAATGGATAGTTCATCCGAATCAGATGTTGAACACACGGAGGAGGTTTGATCGCGCGCGTGCGAACTCGACAATCAACTACTGTGGACTTCGGCCGAAAACAGGAAGTAAATACGGGTATGTGAGCTGGCTGAATAAAGAGATTATTCCTGCCTTCGTGAAAGCTCGGATCACAGTTGAGACCGATATATCAGCCCAGGCATCCACGATCCGTTGGCAGATAGTGGCGTAAGTCGCCCGGCGCTGTTCACCATCCATATATAAGGCGCTCCGGATTATAAGGCGCACTGTCGTTTTTTGAGAAAATTAAAGGCTTTTAAGTGCGCCTTATAGTGCGGAAAATACGGTATATATTACAGTATCAACTGAGTGTGCGATTGCTTACGTTTGAGGGTGCTTAGACAATTAAGCAGAACAGTGTCTGCAAACGGCCATTTTTACATCTTTTTCGGACACTTTAAAATGCGTTGCTGCATTTATAAAATGTGTGCGCCTCTTACTCATGCTGGTTGCTATTTGATTGTGTCAAACGTCATTGTTCGGTAAAATTTATTCGGCCTTTTCACTTATTTGGTATTTTCGGACGAACATTCGGTGCATCCCTAATTGGCTCAAACAGCGCTGACCAGGAGAGACATTGTGCCATGAACAAACAAGTTATAGAAGGCTTTTCAGTCCACAAATCACCAATGTTCAGCATGGATTAAATGTAGTAATGCTAACTGTAACCATGGTATTGTGGCAGAAATTCTCAAATGTTTTTGTATTATTCATTTCAGGGTTTGTACAACCTTTTGATAGTGAAATTCACACAAGCTCAACACAAAATGTTATTTGTAATGTGATAAATATTATTTGTTCAATTTTCAAAGATTATCTTAATATTATTATAATTTTCACACTTTCTTTTGAATTCATATATAGACAATATGAAATCGCTATTATAAAACATCAAATACATTTTTGTCAAAGTTTGGCAATTTTGTACTGAGGTATGAAGTAGGAAATGTGGTTGTTTTGTTTTGTTTGTTTGTTTGTTTTAGTAAATAGTTTCTTAAATCTGTTTTTAAATTGTAATGACTTTTGTGCAGGTGAAGAACTACAGAATGTTCCACGATGACAGCATGAGATCGTTCTTCAGACGTCTCACCTTCACACCAGATGGGTCATTCCTCCTTGCACCAGGTACACTTTCTTTAAAACACTATCATCTAAGTGTATATACTGTGCATGTAATGTATGTGAATTTCTTATAACAAGCTATTTAATATGCATTTTGACACATTATACAGTATGTATTTTTGGCCCAGTGTTGTCCATTTACATGTACTTTCCTTGTGTGGTTATGGAATATTTTTTTATTTATTTTTAGCTGGGTGTGTCGAGGCTGGAGAGAATGTCACAAACACCACTTATGTGTTCTCCAGAAGAAGCTTTAAGAGGTTTGTGTTCTAAATGTCTATGGTCAATTGTAAACCTATGCATTAATCATATATACACTACCATTCAAAAGTTTGGGGTCATTTTTAATTATTATTAATATTTTTATTTTGCAAGTATGCATTAAATGTATCAAAACAACATGCTTTTTGTGAATAAATTGCATTTTAAAATACATTAAAATAGAAAAGTTATATTAAATTGTAATAATGTTTCACCATATTATTGTTGTTGTTGTTTTTTTTAATAAATGCAGCCTTGAGCATAAGTTTTAAAAACCTTATCAACCTCAAACTTTTGAAAGGAAGTGTAAACCCTAAATCTTTAAAAAAAACTGCATGAAAGATTTGTGGTTCCAGTTATTTAAAGAAGAATCAGTTTTTATTAACCAGCCCGAATGCTGACACAGTCAACTTTAAATGTTTATCTGTTTGTTTGTTTGTGTGTCAGGCCCATTGCTCATCTGCCCTGTCCATCTAAAGCGACCCTGGCTGTGCGCTGCAGCCCAGTGTACTTTGAGCTGAAGACAAAGAGAACTGAAGGTACAAACAATACTCTTCCAGAGGTATGTTTGTGTTCCATGCAATGGAAAGACGGCTCTCTTCTAGTGTTGTCAAAAATATCGATATTTCGATATGTATCGATGCTGAAATATCTGAAACTGTTCCAATATTCCTTTCTGCAGTATATATATACCGATACCAGCTGCGCATTCTAGCTCTCTCTTCTCTCCAACAGCAAGTTGACACACCCGCCTCCTCTCACTCACTCGTCTCATTCGCTCCGGTTGAATAGTGCTTGTACTGCACATCATTTTACTCATTCCCGCAGGGTTTGCGCTCACACCAAAAGTGTGCGCACCACTGAACTATATTGAAAACATAATCCACTAGATAGTGCGTATGCGCCGAAAGCGCCTTTCTGTGCTCCCAGCCAAAGAAAGAGTATACTTTGAAAGGGAGCAGAACGGGCCTTTAAGTGGCCCGCTGCGCATACACAAGCCGCCTCTCAAACAGCTTGCATATACCAAATTGACTTCTTTTTCAAATTTTATTGTGCTTAAACAGTCAAATACACACACATTATGTCAAAATGCCTGTCTTTTGGTGAGTATTCAGGTAAATACAATCAGTTTTGGGATGTAAATAGTTGAAAGAAAACGCATGTTGTGTAACAGTATATTGGATCTGTCTGTGTATAAGCTCTTAAAGTTGACAGCAGTCTAATAAACCTGCTGCTGTCTGTCAAGTTAGTCGAACAAAAGAGAGAAAATCAGTCGCTGCTCTTGACTGAATAACTTTTGTAACTAGCTATTGCAACAATTATCCAAGTTATCAAAAAATTGAGTTAATGACAAATTATCTGTATGGCAGTTTTCCCCCTTGGTATCTCAAATGGTATACAATATATATTTCGATACAATATTGAAATATTTTTCAAGGTATCATATTGAAGTTGGAAATTTCAGAATCGTGACAACACTACTCTCTTTGTCCTACAGATGGTTCACTGAAGCCGGTGTCAAATACATTTAATCTGCCATATCGGCTGGTGTTTGCGGTTGCATCAGAAGACTCTATCTTCTTTTACGACACACAACAGACGATGCCGTTCGCATATGTTTCCAACATTCACTACCACACACTGAGTGATCTGAGCTGGTAAGACGTAAATAGATGTTGTGTTAATGCGTTGGGCCTGTGTTGTTTTCACATGACTTGAGTTGTGCTTGTTCTACGTTATGACAGAGGGGGAAGATTCTTCTGTCCACAAAATGCATCCCAATGTATAGTTGCAATGACATTTTTTGTGTCTGGTGGTAACCTGCAACAGCCAAATATATTTGGAAAAAATGAAACTAAAGAAATGCTTTACATTTATTATCCTATCAATAATATAGCATGTTATTTATAACATGTAAGTATTATATTTTTATTCATTTGTTTTAATAGTTCAATTTAGTTTATTCATTTATATTTCCAATCCTCGCCTTTTGCTGTTTTATTTATTCATTAAGTTGAAGAGTGGGAAATTTGCAATGATTGATAAATCCCACTAAAACCTATTTCTCATGCGTCACATATGCATACCTCACAGAAGAGAGTAGCCTGAAACACTCCTGTCTATTTAGAAATGGTCTTTGTCTATGATGAAATCCAATTGACCAACCAATGCCATTGTTCAAGTTATAGAAAATGCAGACATCTATTGTCTTGAATCATTTTGATAATAGCAGTCATTCACTAACATTTGTTATGCACATTGTTCCACAGGTCTCGTGATGGCTCGTTCTTGGCAGTGTCTTCCACTGACGGCTACTGTTCATTCGTGTCATTTGAAGAGGGGGAGCTGGGCATCCCATTGAAGGAGCGACCTCCACTGGAGATGGTGACCCCATCCTCTACCAATGAGAAGAAGGGAAAGAGACACTCAGCCAATGGCAGGACTGCTTCCCCAGTGCCTCGCCAGGCCAGCATACCTGTCGTACAGGATAAGGAGAAAGAGGGATCTACTGGCCCTGCATCCTCGAAGACCCCCAGCGTATCTGGGCCAGAAGAGAAACGCACACCGCAAGGGAAAACCAAACCTCAGCCCAGGAGGATCACACTCAACACCCTGGAGGGCTGGGGCAAACCCAGCACCCCCAAATCACCAGCAGCTGCTGCCAGTACAGCTCCCAGCACACCCAAATCTGCTCCCTCTACCCCTGGATCCAGCAAAGGACCTCTTACACCTCATACAGCCCCCAGCACTCCTTTTGGACCCCTCAACTCCAAAAGTACCACAACTCCAAAAGGACCCACTCCTAGGTAGGGCGGCACACCTGTGGTGTGATCTGATGTAACATTGTATTTTAACCATAACACCATTTCAAATTGGGGCGTGGTAGTTTTTTTTTTTTTTTTTTTTTTTTGTCATGGCAACCCATAAATATAACCCTTGAGATTATAGATTTTGTTTTACAGACTAATCCATGACTTTAGCAGTAAAGATAATGTTCACAATAGATCAAGTATGTACTTCTCTTTCAGACGAATTTCACTGACTCCAGTTGTACCCAGATCTCCCAATCCCTTTGTCACCCCATCTTCCACTGAGAAAGCCAAGCATGGTTAGTAGAGCCATTTATTGCATGCTTTTAAGTTTTGTTTTGTTTGTTTGTTTTAAGCTTTCTTTTATAAAGTTTTTTTTTTTTTTTTATGTTTTAATTATTTGCTTAAATTGTGTTTGAATGGTCTGTAATAATTTTATTACAGAGAGACCATCTCCTCCCAGTGACCCAGCGTGCAAACCTCCTGAGTCCAAGAGGTCCAAGACTGATGTTCTCAATGGTTCTACCCAGAGCAGTGAGCACAAAGTGGGCACAGAACCCAGTGTCACACCCCAGGAACCATAGGCACTGAACATGGTTCTTTGTGCATCTTTATTAGCACTCACATCCTCAGAAATGAAATATACTCATAAACCAGTAACTTAAAACACCTGATCTCTCATGGACATGGAGTGTCAGATATGGACTTTCTGAAGCTCATCTTCACTTCTTTTTTTTCTCCAATGTTTCCAATGAAAAATGTCTATTTTCTATGAATAAGTGTGTATGTTCTTTAAGAGGGAAATGCATTTAATTATTCTTAAAAACAACCCTCTCCCTCATGGCTTAAATTCCTTTTATTTTTAGGACAGGAATGTTTTACTGTTGGACCTTCGGTTTAAATTTTCTTCATAAAGAATTCTTAAGAATGTGTAAGTTAATTGTCTTTGAAGTACAAAATGTTTAGATATAATCGATTGTCATGTTTTGTAAGATTTACTTGAGCATTTTGGGATTCTTTAAAAAAAAGTACTAAATGACTTGCCAGGATTGGATGGTTTGTGACTGCTTTTTGCTGCATTCAGCATTTGAAACTGAGTTTTATAGAATATGATGAAAATGCCATCAAAAGTCTATATTATATTGTAGGATGTTATTATACAAGACAAGTTATATTTTATTATCTTTAACAGTCGCAAGCTGTGTGTTAAGGGAAGTATATGAACTTAAGTTCAGTATCACAAATGCAAACACTTACAATGCAAATCCTAATAAGTAAACAGATTAAGTTCGTATGACCTTAGTTTTTGATTTTATACTACACATACATTTATGTTAAATTGAGTAAGCTAAATCATACCATTTAGTTAAAAGAACAGGTCAGTTTCTTAAACATGACTGTGAACTGATCTTTAAGGGGAAATTACAGTAACTTGATTTACACTGCCTAATTTGGTCTTTCCCCATTTAAAACCAATTTTAGTATTCTGTTTAATATAACCAAATGTTTAAATCAAAAATCATTTTAAGTTCTCATTTTACATTAAACCACTGACAGATGAAGTGACTGATATTGATTATGTCAAGGGTTGGGATATATTAGGCAGCAAATCAACTATCAGTTCTTGATTTACATAAAGATCATCTGACTGACTTTGACAGGTCAAACAATGATGGCTAGATGACTGGGTCAAAGCATCTCCAAAAACGGCGAGTCTTCTGCTCTGATGACACTGCTGAAAAACCTAAAGCTGGCGAAAGTGCCTACAATGGGCATGTGAGCATCAGAACTGGACTATGGAGCAATGGAAGACAACTGCCTGGTCTGATGAATCATATTTTGTTTTACATCAGCTGTGTGGCCGGGTGTGTGTGTATCATTTACCTGGGGAAGAGATGGCAGCTGGATGCATATGTGAAGAAGACAGGCCGACAGAGGCACCCCCTTACAAAAAATAAGTATTTTATTAAGTATACTTAAGTAAAGTTCAAGTATATTTTTAAGCATACTTTAAGTATACTAATATCAATGTAGTAGTAGTGTTCTTGTAAGTGTACTATTTCAGTACTACTTGGGACTAAATTTACACACTTTTTAGTGTATAAAAAATATACTTTGTGTAACAGTAGTAAACTTAATACACCACCAGTTTACATCTACATTTTTAGTTTGTACTGCAGCTAGAAGTGAACTAGAACTAGAAGTGGGTATACTGATAGTTTACTAGTTAAATACTTGTAGCACATTTTTTTTAGTTTATGAATGTATACTTTGAAGTATACACTCAGTAAACTACTAGTTTATGTAGTTTTATATTGAAAGTATACTTGAAAGTTTTCTTTAAGTGAATTTAACATTATACTTAAAGGCCCGGTTTCACAGACAGGGCTTAGATTAAGCCAGGATTAGGCCTTAGTTAAATTAGGACAGTAACAAAGTACATTTACTTGAGTACTGTACTTGTACACTTTTTGAATATCTGTACTTTACTTGAGTATTATTTTTTCTGGAAAGTTTTTACTTTAACTTCACTACATTTGAAAGACAAATATCATACTTTTTACTCCACTACATTTCTGTCAAGGTCCTTGAGTAGAAAGTAGTAACGTCAGCCAGGGGATGATTTTGGTTGGAAAGGAAAGTCAGATTGACGTCAGAATCCGAAATGTTGGTTTCTGACGTCAACCCGGTTTTCATTTTCAACCACAATACATACAACGTCTGTCCAACGTTGGAGTTTAACGTCAATCTGGCGTTGGATTCTGACATCAACCTGATTTTCATTTTCAACGTTGGGTTTGGTCTTCTAAATGCGAATTTTGTCATTGTTTTAGAGCACACTAGCTTATAGATAACAATAAGGCTAACATATTCATACTAAAAGCCAAAAAACTTTAAATAGGGCACTATTTGAGGGAACAGCCATTTGGGTGTCCGAAACCATTGTGGATGTTATTGAGCGCACTTATTTAATCTCACATTCAATCCCACTACTGGAACTGTGTTCTAGAAATAAATTTGATATTGATATGAGGGTACAGGGGTGATTTCGGTCACAACCAATATCTGATTAACGTGAATATTATTACTAGTCTTCTCGACTAGATGTCATCCTTTTTTTTTTACCTTGTATGATGTTGCAACGGGATCCCTGCATGTGCATAAGGAATGCTTCTGCTAGTTTCTGTTTTTTCTTCACCTGTGTTTTGATCCGGAGATTCTGTACTCTTTTAGAAGATGCGTAATAGAGGCCCCTATAACGTATAAAAGTGAAAACATGGATTGCCGGAAATTTCTGTAAATTCCTATGTACACTATAGAGGACTACACAAAAATTCACTTACTCAGAATTAGGAAAATATCTGTTTTCGTTATAAATCAATATTTTCAAACAAATCTATTGTATTGGGTGCCAAAACATGCAAGTATGTAAAACTATGTTAGTGTAATTAAAGAGTAAACAAAACTACAAGCCAAGTATGCTTAGAATACTTAATTATAGTTTTAACATTGGTACATGTGTACAGTTTGTGGCCCTGAACATTTTCAGAAATGGAGCCATCTCAAAAACGCCTTGTGGCGGCCATGGCGGCCATTTTGCTTTCCGCCATAACTGGATTACGGGATGTATTTTGTATTATATCTCCTGAACCAAACATGATAACACTGAAAATGTGATATCTACCCCATGTTTTGATGGTCAAGGATTACAATGATATCACCACAATGATACAACATCATAAACTGTTCAGGTGAATAGTTAATGCTGAATTCAGTGACGTTGTGATAAGGATTACAATGAAATCACAGTATCTGAGAATATCATCTGAAGCTGGGGCTATAGTAAAAGATTTTTTAAATCTGAAATATTTTCAAAATGTGAGAGACCACAAACATGCCGATAATGTTTGTCATGCCAACAAACATTCCTCTAGTGTGTGGAGTGCTGCGATGTGACCAGGAAAGGACATCACTCACTAACAGATTCCATTCACAGACAAAAGAGTCCCGCCTGAGAACACAGGAAATCTCACAAAATATCTCGCATCAAACGTGACTTTAAAGTAAACAAATATGTCGGACGACTGGCAAGAAGAAATGGTGCTTATAGTGTATGAATTGCTTTTTAAGCCAGGGACACACCACGCCTGCGGTCGGCTGTAGGGCAAAGTCGGGCAGTTTTTGAGCATCGACCGACTTCGTTTTTCCGTTGACTCTAGTCAACACAGTCGGCTTTCATCAGCGCTCTTTTTTTTGCGTCGGTTGGGTGTGTCCCTACCCTTACAGAAAATTTGCGGGGGAAAAAAGAAAACGTTGATGAAAATGTGGAGACGGTGTGAACATGAACTTGCATGAGCTGGAGGTGAGTCTTCCGTCAGCTCGCTTTCTGACTGGGTGTTGTTTCGTTTCACGTGATAATCTGCAGAGCCTGTGCGCGTTTGTCCTCTGGGTTCCCCCCCACACAACAAGATTTCTGATTTGATTCGAGATCAGGGCAGCTACGACGTTCTTCTGAGTAGAATCAGTCACTCTTAACACACCTCACACCACAGGAAAATCTGATAAGATAATTTGTAGAACCATCAAGATAATCGGGACTTTACCTGGCATTAACGGAAGGGGAGAAATTAATCCAAAAAGCACCCCGAATATCTTGTAGTGTGTACCCAGCATAAGTGATACATTTTAGAATGCCATGGAGTTCAGCAGTACGTGTCTCTGAAAACAGACATCATGAACAGGCCAAAAGTGTCCAGCTGAAATTCAAGACATGTGAGTTGGTTGACATGATTGAGGAAATGGGAAATCCCTTCGCAGAGGACAGCAACAACCTTCTGAAGCTGAACTCAAGAAAATTAGCAGACCAAGCTTTTGTGGATTCTATTCGGGTTGCAGAGAGGTTGGGGCAAGAGCAGTACAAATTCTTTGTTGCAGAGAGGATGCAGGGCACAAAACGCATCACTGCCCTTTTGAAGAGGAAAAAGTGCCCTCTTTTTAAAACAGCTCCGATAAGAGGACAGTCCAAGACAAAACTCGCTGAAAAATAACTGTGCACTGTTTTCCAGACTCTACATTGCCTGTCAGACATGTGATGGGAACCCAGAAAACTTCTTCAAAAAAGAAAATCAGGCCTACCCTCCATCACTCTCACTTCATGGTGGACTACACTTGGGAAACAAGGCTGATCTGCCTAGAAAACAGTATAAGCAGTGCCCCAGACAGTGCCTCAGACAATGAGGGCTAAATATTAGATGGGTCAGCAGTCATTAACATGCTGAAACCAGGCGTAGCTAAAACCTTCAATGACTTTCCAGCAAGATCTTCATACCAGCAAGATCTTCATACCTCAAAGAGAAACTTGAAAGGGTCAACAGAGTGGATGTTGTATCGGACTGCTATGAAGTTAACACCCTAAAGTCCCAGAAGCAGGGAAAGGGGACAAGAACAAGAGTGGATGGAAAAAACAAGTTAACAAACCAACTGGAAAGGCTTCCTGAGAGTGGATAAAAACAAAACAGAGCTCTTTTACTTTCTGGCCAGGAACCTTGTGGAAATGTCGACTACCAAACAAGTTGTTTACACATGCGGACCCAGTCATCTCACCCACAAGAAATTGCCCCTTGCACACATGAACAGGCAGATACAAGGATGCTACTCCATGCGGCGGATGCTGCAAGAAAATTATTTAAAGAGATCACCCTGCGCACTGTGGACCAACTGTTGTGGT